GCAGGAAAGCAGGGGCAGAAGTAGTCTTGGTACATTAGGTGGCAGCTCCCAGGGGGGTTCTGTGATCCAACCCGTCACACTTTCCATCCAACCTCTTTGGTCAGACTCCAGGGTGAGAGCCCTGCCCCTGACTCCTTCCAGCCCCCAGCTCTTAAATCCATCTCCCGCTGGGGCGTTGGGTGCCTGGTGTCAACGTCCCGGTGACTGGATCAGCCAGTGATGTGGGGTCAGCCTCGGCCAGTCCTTTTTAATGCCCCACCTGGCTCAGACTGCTGGGCGCCATTCCCACCTCCGTCTCTTAGCCTATCCTGAGAGCAAATGGTCCCTTCCCCCCACTGGGTAACACTGCTACATAAAGGGGAAACTGAGGCACATGCCGGCATCATAAAAATATTACAGAAAATTCCCCCTTTGTCCCACCCTCACTGTTCGGTATCTGCACCTTGTTCCCAGACTGAATTCGTGTAGTGCCCGCTCTCAGCCGGCGGCTCGTGTTAGACTCTCTGGCAGAGGGAAGAGCCGTCTGCTCTCACAGATCTCTTCCCACACAGGTACTAGCAGACCCTGAGCAAGTCACCTTTCAACCGTCTCTTTGGCGAGACGATCAGAGCCACCTCCTCCAGGCTCTCCGCAGCCGGCGGATTTTCTAGCCCTCTGTCCTGTTCCCTGAACCTTGTCCAGTCCATCAACCCCCCATTGGCAGAGCAGGCGCCAGTCCCCGGCTCACTGTCCCTGTCTGGAGAGCAAACACCCTCTGCCAGTCCACCTTGTACATCGAAGGCGCCTTCGCCCTCTTCGCTACAGCGTCGCACGGGGCTACGCTGGGCTGGCTGGTTTCTCCCAGGAGCCCTTCCCTGCCTTCCCGGCGCACCTCCAGCCCCATGCACCTGGGCTGTGACCTGGCGTTTGGCTACAAGGTGCGTTGTGCCCCAGGGCCCCGCTCCCCAAGCCATGTGGGAGGAGAAACCCCCTGCCCACGGCCGCCAGCTGCTCTCGCCCCATGCAGGGGCCGCTCGGGGACCCCTCTCACCTCGATAGCCTTGCAGATCTCCTCCATCTGGGTCACGATGGCCTGGATGCGGTCGTTCCCAGCCACCAGCATGGCGACGCCGTCGCTCAGTTCGCTCTGCCACGGGGGGGGAGAGGGGTCAGTGCTGGGCATGGGGGGGGTCTGTGCTGGGCACGGGCAGGGGGGTCAGTGCTGAGCATGGGGGGGGTCTGTGCTGGGCACGGGCGGGGGGG